TTGTGCGAAATATCCGTGTGAATATCTGTGTGAATATTCTGTGCGAATATTTGATAAATATGAGAAAAAAAACGTAATCACGTAGTTCTTCTGAATATCCGTGAATTCCGAGAATTTCTCTATGAATATTCGTGAATTTTCTTAATATCCGCAAATTATCTATGAATATCAGCGAATTTCCTGAATATTCTATGGATATCCATGTAAATGTGTACATTTATTCATTATTATTCGCGAATGATTAAAATCCGCGAAATATTCATTAATAACCGTGACGGATATTCAAAGGATCCTAGCTTTATTAAGGGGTAATAATATATATTGTAGTTAACGGCGCATTACATAATTTTTTCATAACTCTTTTATTTTTTTTTTTTCTCGTAGCTTAAAAGATTAACATATGATTCCATTTGATTTCTTTTCGATATCTTTGAATAACCGGTACATACCAGGATTTTATCTTGATTACTTATATTAACCTGAGATAAAATATCGATTACATAAACATAATTTACTTATACGTATTAACCTGAGATAAAATATCGATTACATAAACATAATTTACTTATACGTATTAACCTGAGATAAAATATCGATTACATAATTTTAGTAAAAATTGTTATGGGATCTTATGAAAAGTATTTATACGATGTGAATTCGTAGGGTGGTTGGGTGGGCGATACTCTATTTTCTAATACGTTTAGAATCGTAAATCGTAACGTAAATAGATACGTACGCAATGTATAGATATTACCAACATAGTGTTTTAAAAATGCGAGGTATTTTTTCCCTAATTTGTTTGAGTAAATCCTACCAAAAAAGAGTATACGTGGCAAGTGTTTTGGTGATCTTTGATCGGGACGTTACGAGAACCCAAAAAAATTAATAAAAAAAAATCACGTTATTATTTATTTTCGCCATTTACGAAATCTTGTATTACTATATACAAAGATGCAGAGCATTTCCGAAATAAGGAAATAACCCTATGCGTTTGACGTTAGTCACGCTAGGGTTATTATCGCGAGGATAACCAGATTTTGTGGCTGATACGATTTTGATAGTGAATTAGATTTACATGTGAATATATGCGTTAGGGAAAAGTTATGCATGAAAATGAGATAGTTATGCATAAAATGAGATGATAATGAGGTATTAGTTATGCATGTGAATGTGCAGAAATGATAAATATGCATGGGAAAAAAGAAAATAGAAAATACATGTGGGAAAAGTAACGAGGATTATAAATAAGTAAACAGAAAATAGTAAATCGGCAGTGCTTTCTTTCTTCGCTCATTTGTTCTCTTCATTGCCCGATTATGATCTGGCTTCTTCGTGTTTGTCATAACTTGTGGAAAAATTTATTGCATACTTAAAAAAAAAAAAAAAAAAAGAGAATTATAAAAAATAAAAATAATTAACGATGTCGGATACAAACCTCTCGAAAAATGACCTGGAAGAAATCTGCCATGGCCTTGGTGTCTCTACTGAGGGAACAAAAGCTGAACTAATTCAGAGGATTAGAGCTGAACAGTCAGAAAAAATAAGAAAGGTACCTTGTGAAGATGGTGACGAAGACGAGACAATGGGTTCCGAAAACCTAAATGAAGACGATGAAATATGCGAACATAACCCTCAGATGCAAACATTGAGAGAGCTCGCGCAGAAATCAAGGGGAAAAGCAAAGATGGCACTACCAAAAACCACTGCACAAAATATAGAGGATCTAAATGGTCAACAGCAAGCAAATAGGGAAATGTCAGAGAATGGAAAGAAATCAAGAAAACGGAACTACCAAGATAGTGGTGAAAATGAGAGTCCAGAAACCTTGGAACGCAAAATATTGGCAGAATTCAAAAAGTTGGAAAACGTGGTCCTATGCTTCAACGACAGATTAAACTCAATAACAACCCAAATACAGGATACCCACCAAAGAATAGAAATAAATGATACCTGGCCCAACCATAAATTTGGAAGATTCCATGACCAGCATGAATATGACCTATTATGTCAAATAGGAAGAGAGCTCGATTTTGCGATAGACTCTAGAAGCGTTCATGAAGCTGTAAACCATATAGAAAATGCTTGAGAAAAAGTGGCAAGTAGAATGTTTACATTACGAGTAGCTGAGGGATATGGTTGGGAAATCACATCATCATTATCTGATACACAAGACGAATAGCTAAAAGGAAAGAACGACTTAATCGAAAAAGCAAAAACTCTGGCAGAGGTAAAGAAGAACAAGCGCCAGAAAGTCCGAAATTTTGGGAAAAG